GCCCATATGTGTTTAGGAGTTTGGTTAAGGCTTTGCACTGTCTGTGCAGTGTTTTGGCTCTCCTGGTTGTGTGTTTTGCTGAGGAGTCTAGTGTGGGGTCTTGGAACTGATTGTAGTCCCCACAAATGATCGTGGTGCCTGTTTGTAGTTGAGATGTGAGTTTTAGCAGATTACTGAGATATGTCCCCTGGTTTACGTTTGGTAGGTATGTATTAACTATGGTATAGGTGGAGCTGTTGATAGTGCAGATCAGTATAATGTACCTGCCTAACGGGTCCTTCTTCACCATAATTTCTTCAAAGGCTAAGTGACGGCTGAGGAGGATAGAGACTCCCTTCCGTTTTGTGCGTGCGGTGGCATGGTATTGATGGGGGTACATTGTCTTCCCTAGAGTGGGAGTTGTATCTGCAGAGAAGTGGGTCTCTTGTAGACATATCACATCGGCTTGGTTTCCCCTAAGTTCCTTAAGGAGTGTGTGCCTTTTTTGTGGGGTATTTAACCCTCTGACATTATGGGTGTATATTTTCATACTCTTTGTGGTTCAACTATGTGGCTTGGATTGTGGCCTCGTGCGGATGTTTGTAGGGTCGACTGTCTGTGTGTATAACGGTTGGCGCCTTGTGCGTGAGAGTGGTGGCAGGTCTTCTGAGGAATCGTGTATAGCTCTGGGGCTTAGGACCATAATTCGGTTGGGGGTGCCACATACTATTGGGGTGGTGGTGCTTGGGCGTTGCCCTGTGGTAATGGTGTAGTGCAATGGCGTAATCTGGTTGGGGACACACAACAAGTAAACAAAACTTGAACATTTTAAAACTTAAACTTAAACTATAATTGAACACCACTATTGAGGTGTTCAAAATTTCCTGCTGAAGGTCGAGAGAGTGACCTTCTTGGGTTGGGGGTAGGTGGTCCGGTCTAACCATATGTGGTCTAGAGTCGGGATCTAGTCATTCGACTGGGCTCTCTGCTAGTAAGCACTGTAGCAGCGGAGTAACTCTCATATGTCAGGGGTGGGGGGGAGGGGTCTCTGCTCGAGTTTTGGTCAATTTTTTTTTTCTTCTGTTTTGTCTTGTTAGTATCAGTCGGCTATTGTATGGTTCGCCCCACTGATTCTTTGGACTTGTCAGCGTCCAAGAGGGGGGGGAGGAGTGAGGGAAGGCTACAATGGTCTGTGGGTTGCCTCAGGTGGTGCTTCACCTGCTGTCGGAGCCCCTCGAGCGTAGGTGGTGTGGGGCGTCTCCCGACCCCGGGTCTGCTAATTGCCCCTCTGATGCCCCCCTCCATCGTCCCCTCACCCCGCCCCCCCATTCCCCAAACCTTTGTCATCAGTCGACAATTAGCGAATGTCTCTGGTGCTTCAATGTTCGGTGCGCGGGGTAGTCCGCCTCGCTCTGACTGCTCGCCATTCCCCTTGTAGTTTACTGCTTCGAGGTTGACCCGCGCCCTGGATGTTGTTCACTGTGATGCCCCACGACTGGAGAAGGTCGGTGCCCTCTGCGGTGGATGTTATCACATGCGTTTTACTGTCCTTGGTAATGAGCAGCTTTACCGGGTATCCCCAACGGTACTGTACGTTGCGCTGGCGGAGTGTCTCTGTGATGTTTCGGTACGTCCGACGTCTTCTTAGCGTTTCTGCCGATAGGTCTGTATAGATGCTGATATCTTTAAACTTGTCTGGAACGTTTCTGTTGGAGCGGTGGTTTTTCAATATCTGCTCTTTTATGTGAAAATAGTGTACTCTCATGAGGACGTCTCGTGGAGTGGAGGGAGGTAAGTGCGCAGGCTTTGCTACTCTGTGTATCCTGTCTAAGATCAGCATATCTGCCGGAATGTCAGGCATCAGGGAGTGGAAGAATTCTGTAGCGTAGGCTGTTAGATCCTGCTGGTGTACTGCCTCAGGTATGCCCCTTAGCCTTAAATTGTTGCGGCGGGAGCGATCCTCCATATCGATGATTTTATTTTCAAAGCGCTCCAGTCTGCTTTCTATGTCCTCCATTTTGTCTGCCATGGAATCATGTGCTGTGGCAAATTCCTCCAGTTTGCCCTCTAAGTGTGAAGTTCTGCTGCCTAAGTCCATTATGTCTCTTCTCAGCTCTGTTATTGCTGTGTGGAACGTGCTCTGCATTTTCCCTGCCAGGTCATCTAACATGTGTTGCAGGGTATGTTTATTTAAGCCTGTACCTGCTGCCTGGTCGCTGTCTGATTCCGTTTCGGCGCCATCTTGGATCGGCTGACCCGCGGTTTTCACTTGCGGCGTACGGGCTGCAAAGAATGCTGCCTTATCTTTGGGTTCCGCCGCTTTTTTCCCCCGGTGCTGGGACATCTCTGGGGTGAGTTTCTGCGGTGTGTGTGCTTATTTGTGCCGCTTATTTCGCCGTTTTTTAGCCCTGTCGGCGGAGCTCCCTCAACCCGCGACCATGAGGCTCGGGTTCCGGCCGGTCCAAAACTATTTAAAGATACATGAAACAAACTGTCAATCCAGCTCAGAAGATCTGAATACCAACCAGCTCAGATCACTAAACTGTCAGGGAGCTGCCATCTCTACCTCCTCGCGTTGTTCAGGGTCCTCAAGATGTCAGCTACACAAAAGGCAATATGCAGTACATTCTAAGGGGGAGATATATTCCTAGTGTTTTAAATAAGACCTTACAATATAGAAACATGTTTTGTTTTTCCAGAATGGGGGTTGGATATACTTCTTTTGGAAAATGTACGCCTTTATCAGCACTGATTATTTACATTAGGCATGTGTTTTATAGTGTGAATTTCTTACTAAAAGTCTAAGTTATATCTACATTACAGAAGAATGTGTAAGTTTGTATTTTTTTTTTTTACTTCAGCCAATCTACCATCAGAAGACCTTCAAGAAGACCAAGTCCATTTGTTTAATGATAAATGTTGCAATGGCCCAAACTCCTACAAGAAAATAAAGTATTATCTCATAAGGACTATTGAGCTTTTTTTACTGGGGTGGGCGGGAGGAGACGTAGTGTTTTTTCTTTTGTATCTAACAGTATATCAGTTCTGCCTTTTATCCTCCTCCTGGTTAATGGTAGTCTGGATCAGCTGGTGAGCCAGCTGGGCATGTTGAGATCTTGGAGCATTGGAAGAAATTGCCCCAACTGAGGATACATTGCAGACATGTGGGTTGTTGATCCAGGATTTGCGACCTTAGGAGAAATCTGGCTGCCGTTATGGAGTCAAGAAGGAATTTTCCCCTTTTTGTGGCATAAAAATGTGAGAAATCATATTCATATTCACTGTTCAAGAACTTAACTTTATAATATAATACTAGAATGTCAGGCAGCCCAAGTCAAAGTCTTAATAATAAAATCTCTAACTTAGTCTGATGGTAATTTGGTCCCCTAGCTTCTCAGGTGGGGGGCATAAGCCCTGGTGATGATATGGAATAAACGTGACACCGTGAAAAGTTAGATAATGTATGAAACTAGTTTCATGTGGCTATGTGTGGGGCCCCAGGGCAATTTTACTCGTAGGTTTAACTTTACCAACCAGTAGAAACCTGCTATTAATGACAAGCACCATAATAGATTGACAGAGGTCAACGGGCAAAATAAAAGTTTTTATCTCTTGTCAAATATATATTCTTTAAGTCATTGATGCAGGGCTGTGTGGGGAGGAGGGCTGAGTACGGGAAAACAGAGATAGGTTTTAAACATCTGAAGATAAAGATGTTAAGTTGTGGATGTTGTCAAAAAAGAGGGAAATCGTCAATTGACACTTTTTTATTTGGACCAGGATCTGCTTACATGACGCACAACATCTCCTGGGAATCTCCTGTAATGTTCTTGGATCAATATATAATGATAGTGTGGCGGACCACCTGGCACCCCGACTGGGTACCTCCACCAATCAGTCTTCCTAGTGCTCACCGGAGTACTATAAGCACTGCACCAGACACCATAACCACTGCAGCCCCCTTAGCCACCACAGCTTGGCTGGGGCCTCGCCGTCCCTTCATACCCTGGACCAACACCTAGATCCAGCTCCCAGTGGGAAGACCTCTCCTTCAAGAGAGTATAGCAGGTACAGTAATCCAAAGAGCAGTATGGCAATCCCCCACACACATGAGCCAAGGCTTAATGCTGGGAAGTAGTCTGTTTAATGGCAGCAAAGTTACAGAATTTATACAAGTCACAAACTCCTCCCCTGTGCCTGAGAGATAATTGAGTCAGGAACTGTACATACTCAATTATCTTCAGGCACGAAAAACCATACAATTTACAAACACCCCAAAAGTACCCCTAAAACACATAAAAACCCCACAAAAGTCACATCCCCTGATTTGGGTTACCAACATATCCAAAAATCACCCAGAACGGTTCAGGGGCTCAGGTTTTTCATGGAAGTCGGTCAAGTTCAGTAGTTTAAAAACGAACAAACTACCGAACGTAGTCAATAGTCATAATGTGCAGCTTATTCCCCTTATCCAGACGAACAATTCTACCAAACAGTGCCCTTCCAGGTGGTGTAGAAACGAACGCAGGCAATGATGGAAGTCCAGTGGTATTCGGGAGTTTCCATGTCCGATTTGAGTTCCATGAACTCGACGACCAAACACCGCTGCCTGCAGTCGTTCATACTAACTGCGGCCACCCAGATGAACAATTAAAACCCTGCAGTTAGAATCGTTAAGAGGTGATTATAAGGCTTAGCAAGCTTCTGGGTGGTCCATGGTTCGTAGCCTGTTTGGTTCCCGAACAGCATAGGAACATGGCACGAACTGAGTCTTTTAACAGCCTTTTTGCAGGGCTCATAGTCCAGCAGGCCCCTCCAGAAACATGTGGCAGAGGCATTTTTGCCACAGATACGAATCAAGCTATATTACCCTGAGTGTCTGGATCAATATATAATGAAAGGAGTTATGATGTACCACCCTCAGTGTCTGGATCAATATTATAATGATAGGAGTTGTGCTATACCACCCTCAGTGTCTGGATGAATATTATAATGATAGGAATTATGATGTACCACCCTGAATGTCTGGATTAATATTTAAACATAGGAGTCATGCTGTACCACCATCAGTGTCTGGATCAATATATAATGATAGGAGTCATGCTATACCACCCTCAGTTTCTGGACCAATATATAATGAAAGGAGTCATCCTGTACCACCCTCAGTGTCTGGATCAACATATAATTATAGGAGTCATGCTGTACCACCATCAGTGTCTGGATCAATATATAATGATAGGAGTCATGCTGTACCACCATCAGTGTCTGGATCAATATATAATGATAGGAGTCATGCTGTACCACCATCAGTGTCTGGATCAATATATAATGATAGGAGTCATCCTGTACCACCGTCAGTGTCTGGATCAATATATAATGATAGGAGTTATGCTGTACCACCCTCAGTGTCTGGATCAATATATAATGATAGGAGTCATGCTGTACCACCGTCAGTGTCTGGATCATTATATAATGATAGGAGTCATGCTATACCACCCTCAGTGTCTGGATCAATATATAATGAAAGGAGTCATCCTGTACCACCCTCAGTGTCTGGATCAATATATAATGATAGGAGTCATCCTGTACCACGCTCAGTGTCTGGATCAATATATAATGATAGGAGTCATGCTGTACCACCATCAGTGTCCGGATCAATATATAATGATAGGAGTTATGCTGTACCACCCTCAGTGTCCCGATCAATATATAATGATAGGAGTCATGCTATACCACCCTCAGTGTCTGGATCAATATATAATGATAGGAGTCATGCTGTACCACCATCAGTGTCTGGATCAATATATAATGATAGGAGTCATCCTGTACCACCCTCAGCGTCTGGATCATTATATAATGATAGGAGTCATGCTGTACCACGCTCAGTGTCTGGATCAATATATAATGAAAGGAGTCATGCTATACCACGCTCAGTGTCTGGATCAATATATAATGATAGGAGTCATGCTGTACCACGCTCAGTGTCTGGATCAATATATAATGATAGGAGTCATGCTGTACCACGCTCAGTGTCTGGATCAATATATAATGATAGGAGTCATGCTGTACCACGCTCAGTGTCTGGATCAATATATAATGATAGGAGTCATGCTGTACCACGCTCAGTGTCTGGATCAATATATAATGAAAGGAGTCATGCTGTACCACGCTCAGTGTCTGGATCAATATATAATGATAGGAGTCATGCTGTACCACGCTCAGTGTCTGGATCAATATATAATGAAAGGAGTCATGCTATACCACGCTCAGTGTCTGGATCAATATATAATGATAGGAGTCATACTGTACCACGCTCAGTGTCTGGATCAATATATAATGATAGGAGTCATGCTGTACCACCCTCAGTGTCTGAATCACTATATAATGATAGGAGTCATGCTGTACCACCCTCAGTGTCTGAATCACTATATAATGATTGGAGTCATGCTGTACCACCCTCAGTGTCGGGATCAATATATATTGATAGGAGTCATAATGTACCACCCTCAGTGTCAGGATCAATATAGAATGATGGAAGTTCTGTTGTCAGACTCAGTATATCTTAGTGAAATTTATAGTTCCATTTATATAGATTTGCAGATATGTGTATGCTTGTTGAGCCAAACAGAGAAATTCATGAACCAGGAAATTATACTTCCATAGAGCAATCAAAAAACATAAGAATCTAGCAGTGGGGATCTTAAGAATAAATGGTTCCCCTACTCCTGGAATTGCCAGATTCTAAGACAACAGGTTGTCAATCTGTAAGATTTTTGTCAGAGTTATATTTAGATGAACGAGGTGTATTAAATTTACAGAGTAGTATTTTTATTATAGTCTATTGAATATGACGCTACAATGTATTTGACCAAGTGGGGCAGAATACCGTAAGAGAAGACATCATGCCGAAATGGAAAAAACTAAATAAAATGTCATCAATGTGAAAATGGCTAGTAAAATCTGCATCAAACGATGAGAATATTGAAGTACCCAGTGTCTCTGAAGAGACGATTTAAAGTTTGTCACTGGAATCTGATAGTAACAACGAATATTCAGCGTCAGAATTTAAATGTTGCTATTAAACAGCAATTGGATTGTGAGTAAAAGATCAGTCATCATTATCAGATATTGTCAATGATGAGATACTTAGCACCTTAACCCCTTAAGGACACATGACATGTGTGACATGTCATGATTCCCTTTTATTCCAGAAGTTTGGTCCTTAAAGGACCACTATAGTGCTAGGAAAACATACTCGTTTTCCTGGCACTATAGTGCCCTGAGGGTGCCCCCACCCTCAGGCTCCCCCTCCCGCCCGGCTCTGGAAAGGGGAAAAAGGGTAAAACTTACCTTTTTCCAGCGCTGGGCGGGGAGCTCTCCTCCTCCGATCCTCCTCCTCCCCGTTGGCTGAATGCGCACGCGCGGCAAGAGCTGCACGCGCTTTCAGCCGGTCGCATAGGAAAGCATTATCAACTTGCGTTTGCGTGCTCTCACTGTGATTTTCACAGTGAGAATCACGCAAGCGCCTCTAGCGGCTGTCAATGAGAAAGAAAAACTGCAGAATTTCAAGAGTCAACATCCAAAGATGGTAGGAAATTTTCAAAATACTGTTTTTTTTAAATAAGTTTTCAAATGGCTTATTTATTCAGAAAATTGTGAGTCCATTTTTTGTTTCAACGATACACAAACCAAATTATGCCATCCCAGAAGTAAGATTTAAAGACTGGAAATAAATTTTATTGTATTATGGAACACAACATGTAACAAATCCTTGCCAAAGGTTTTGTGGATGGAAATCAATGGAAAAAGTTTGTTAAGCAGAGAGTCTATTGATGTCTCACTACAAAAAAGCTATTGAAACTGAAAAACAAAATGGAGACACTTTCTAAAGGTAACACTTTATGCTGTAATGTCTTGCGCTAAAAACAATATACCTTTTAGAGGATCAAGTAACAATATTGAAGACTCTAATTCGGGAATATTTCTTAGTCTTTTGGAACTTAGAAATCATTACGATGTACCGCTAAAACAGCATATTACAACTCACAAAAAAGGTTCACTGCGTTACTTTTCACACACAATACAAAATTAATTAATTGGCCTACTAGTAGACCATGTTCGTGGTGAAAATATCTTCAAAGTTTAAAAAAAGCTAAATATTATAAACTCCTTTTGGACTGTACACCAGACATTTCACATTGATAACAAATGTTCCAGATTGCGAAATACGTTCTAACTGAAAATGGAGATATAGTTGTAGAAGAAAGTTCTGTCAAGATCATGAGGAGCCAGGCAAGGCCTAGGCAGACAGGGACATGCAAGTGTGAGGGTAGTGTATACAGGGGAATGTGGTAAAGTGGTCATGGAACAGGAGGGTGGAGTAGTAAGGGGTAGATGGGTGGCATAGTATAAATAGGTTGCCATCTTACGGTATAGCAGCTATCTTATCAGTTGGTACTAGCTTGGTGATTGCTCGTTGTTGCGCTCGGTATACCTGATTTTCAAGTGCTGTTTGAGGCCAGGGTATGGATATTGAAGCTGTCCTCTCTGGCCTCAGGGCTGGGGCCTTACAAGATGAGTGTCTGCACGTGCAGGCTCAGCTGGCTCTTCTTCAGGCCTCCGTGGCTGTTGCCGCCTCCCCTCCCGGTGATAGAGGAGGTTCCCGGAGGCAGGCTCGGCCACCGAAATGTTATGCCCCACAAGGGGGAGCTACTGGCCCTCCTGGGCTCAGGAGGCTTGGCTTCCCTGGATCTGCCAGTCTACGGCCGTGAGGCTTGCTTCACCTCCCTACTCGGGCAGTGGGACGGTATTCTCCTGGCGGCTGCTGAAGGCTTTCTTATGGCCTTGTCTTCATTAGCAGACTCGCCACGTGGGTCCCAAGGCCAAGTCGGACCGAACGGTGGTCGGGCCTCCAGGAGGGTGAGTAGGCTTCAGGGTGTCTCTCCAGGGGCAGAGGCCTCCCCTCCTGAAGTGGGGGGTGGTGGCTGGGAGTAGTGTGAGGCATCTGTCTCCTACCCCTTCCTGTGGTAGCTCTGCTAGCCCCCTGCCCTCCCTTGGGGTGCCGTCTGGACTTACCAGGCACCCCTTGCCTTCCCCGTCCCCCTGGGGTGGGTCTATTTTACTGGGTCAAGGGGGGGAGGGATGTGATTTCACCTGTTTCTCCCCAGGTGGCTCTGGACCAGGCCATGTTCCAGGCCTCATTGAGAGTGACGCCAGTTTCACTCCTTATAGAGGTGGCAGCTCCAGCCCAGCCTCCAGTAGTCAGTGGCGTACACATGACCCATGGGGCACTGGTGCGAAAATTGATCCGTGGGCCCCCCCGTGCACAGGCCGGGGCCACAACACACACACTTAAAGGACCACTACAGACACCCAGATCACATCAGCTCAATGAAGTGGTCTGGGTGCTAGGTCCCTCTAGTTTTAACCCTGCAGCTGAAAACATAGCAGTTTCAGAGAAACTGCTATGTTTCACTGAGGGTTAATCCAGCCTCTAGTGGCTGTCTCATTGACAGCTGCTAGAGGAGCTTCCGCGATTCTAAGACACTGAACGTCCATAGGAAAGCATTGAGTAATGCTTTCCTATGGGCGGTTTGAATGCGTGCGCGGCTCTTGCCGCGCTTGCGCATTCGGAGCTGAGAGGCGGAGGGATCCCCAGTGCCAAGGGATAGCATAGCAAGACCACTTAATGTTATCTCACATATATATTATTCATAGGCGTGCGCACGGGGTGTGCCGGGTGTGCCTGGGCACACCCTAATCCCCATGGCACGCCTATGGTTTGAGTCCTGCAGGAACAGTGTTCCTGCACTTTTTTTGAGCAGGAATGCTGTTCCTGCAGGCACTCAGCGCCCCCTGTTTCACCTCTTGCCCCTGTCATGGGGGGGGTGGCAAGAGGTGATGGATCCGCACCCCTTCTCGGCAGCTCAGCCGCGGCGAGGGAGCTGTCTGCTCTCTGCTTCCTCTCGCCGCGCGCTGATGCCGGGAGCCGGAATATGACGTCATATTCCGGCTCCCAGCTCCAGCAGACAGCCCGCGCGGTGAGAGGGAGCAGACAGCAGAGAGCTCCCTCGCTGCGGCTGAGCTGCAGAAAGGTGCCCGCCCCACTGGACCCCAGGGAAAAGTCCACGCCAGCACTCCAGGTAGGAGGCTGGGTGGACATTTTTTTAAAATTAAAATGTAATAATTTGTTCTTGTGTGTGTCTGTGTGTGTGTCTGTGAGTGTGTGTGTGCCTCTGAGTGTCTGAGTGTCTGTGTGTGTCAGTGAGTGTGTGTGTGTGTGTGTGTGTGTGTGTCTGTGAATGTGTGTGTCAGTGAGTGTATGTGTGTCTGTGAATATGTGTGTGTGTCTGTGAGTGCATGTGTGTCTGTGAATGTGTGTGTGTGTCTGTGAATGTGTGTGTGTGTCTGTGAGTATGTGTGTCTGTGTGTGTCTGTGAATGTGTGTGTCTGTGAGTGTATGTATGTGTGTGTGTCTGAATGTGTCTGAGTGTGTGTGTGTACGCATATATATATATATACATACATACACACACGCAGAGCCGGCGCTATCTGAGTGCCGGCTTTGCGCTAAGCCTCAATGGGCTGGCGGGGAGACCAAAGATCTATCTCACCGGCCCACAGCAGCATGGAGGGAGGCAGGAGAGGACCCAGGGAGCTCTAGACAGAAGCTCCGCCAGGTTCCTCTCGCGATATCTGAGCGTTGCTGCGGCAACGCTCAGATCTCACGAGAGTTAACTCTGGCCCTGCAGGCTAGAGTTCACTCTCCACTGGACCACCAGGGATGGCACATGGCAGCAAGGATTTACTAATCTGCCAAATCCCTCCAAACATACAGCACACACACATACAGCACTAACCACACCCTCACAAACACACACAGCACCTTTAAAAAAAACACCCTCACACACAGCACACTAACAGCACACTCACAAACACACACACACACAAACAGCACCCTCAAAAATACGACACTCACACAAACAGCACCCTCACAGGACAAACATACACACACAAACACCATAGTCACAAACACACACAAACACCCTCACATCACACTAACAGCACACACAGCAGTGTATGTGTGTGTGTGTGTGTGTGTGTGTGTGTGTGTGTATATATATATATATATATATATATACATACATACACACACACATGCGGCGTGTGTTTGTGCTTTAGGGTGCACACCCTAATGCAATAGGCTGCGCACGCCTATGATATTATTCTTATTATTGTTATAGCCAAATTTACCACCCTAACTCCTCCCACAGTTTTTAGACTACATAGACAGTAATATACCGATACGTGCGGATTGTTCCCGATTGGTGTGCTATTACTTTGTGGAACGTTTCGCGGAATGGTTCACGGAATATCGTCGTTCTTGTGGCGAAATTAATCCCATAGGAATGAATGGCAAAATGTCCAAAACTAGAGTGGGAGCTGGCAAAAGCTGAAAAATCAGGACATGATTTCTAAACTGCCACCACTCCCTCATTTTCAGGCCCACCTACACAAATCTTATATCAAAATGTTCAGCTATCCCTGTTGCCACTAAACATGTCAACGGCTAAGCCATAGTCTAGATAGTTTTCACAATATGACTATTTGTTTGCAACTCACGCCGTCCATTGACATTCATTGAAACTTCACTCTACAACGCTCAAATTTGAAGGGCAATTTCTAAACTGCGACTGTGCCTTCATTGTTAATATTGCAGAGACATACTATGCATCAAAATGTAGGTGTGGGTCTTGTGATTCTCACAATATAAAGCTCTTCGCTGTAGGATTTATAGTTTTTTAAATACGACAGTTTGAAGATAGCAACCGCCAAAATACTCTGACCTGTGCCAGGCTGCAGCAGCAAGTGATGTCATAGACAGGGCCTTTTGAACACCTGCTAATGTTTTTATAAATGTATGGTTTAATGTAACTGTGCAACATCGTTGCAATTAAATGTGCTATATAAATGAGAACAGTTACTCCGCCCACTCCAGGTGTAGACTACTGGTGGAGGCAAGAACACTTCACACAATTTCCCCAGAAATTGTAGCTTTCTAGTTTTAAATGTAATCCCCCAGCCTCCTTACCTTTTGGAGTGCTGAGGGGAAACCCTGGGGTCCGGTGGTGCTGCTGGGCTCCTGGGCGGCCGGTCCTGCGGGCTGTCTGTCTGGCGGACGCGCGAGGGAGCGCTCTCCCCTGAGTGCTTCCTCTTCAGCTCCCTCGCGCGCCGCACTGATATCGGAGCCGGAAGATTACATCATCTCCCATATCAGTGTGGTGCGCAAGGGAGCTGAAGAGGAAGCACTCAGGGGAGAGTGCTCCCTCGCGCGCCCCCCAGCAATACCAGGGCCAGCCTCGGGGGGCCCTGAGGTGGCCAGCTCCTGGGCCCCCCAGGGGAAGAGGCTGGCCACAGTGGGTACATAATGGATTGCAGGGCAGCCAGGCCCGGTCGCAGCTGCGACCCCAGTATGTACGCCACTGCCGGTAGTTGATATAGCTCTGCTACTCCAATCCACTTCCGTGCCCACTGGTGAGTCTGGTTCTGCACTGGTATATGGTCGGGTGGTGGGTGGGGGTAGCCAGGGGGGTTCTGGGATCTGGAGTTCCTTGATGGGCTGTCTGAGAGGACTCTTGGATAACAGGGAGTGTAGTTCTGCTGCCTTGTCCTTGGACGCGCAGGTTAGAGCGGGGTTGAACCCTACTTCGGTTACTTCATCATGAGGGGCTGAGGGTGCCGTTAGCCTCCATACCAGTGGTCCTGGAATCCTCCCCGCCCATGGTGGTGCCGTTGGGCAAGGAGGTTGCGCCGGCCATGCATGGTGCGGCCTATATGTGTTGGTCAGGCCCCCTGAGGTTGCATTTGCGCTAGGAGGTGCGGGACAAAATTTGGAATCTTCTCCTTGCGCCCCTTGATGGATTTGCCCTCTCCTGAGAAGGACAAAGAAAAGTTTCGGTATTGGAAGATCCTGAAAACATTTATGGATCAGGGCCTTTTCAATCCTGGCCAGTGTCATATGGGAAAAGGCGCCTGAGAAATGCTCAGCCCTCTTCTTTAATCAGGATACGGTCTGGACTGTACAGGTATATGGGAGGTTGAGCTGGTGGAGCTGGTATCACAAACAGCTTTCCCAGCGGATGGAGGTTCACCCATCCTTTGGTTGGGATCAAATGGATATTGGTTTGTTGCTGGCAATTATGACTCGCCCTGCCTTGCATCAGGGCGGTATGTCGTCCTTTCTCAGAAGGGCCGGCACAGTTGGACACTCCGCTGTGTTGGCCTTGCCCAGACGCACTGGGTGCTGCTGGCAATACAATGAAAGTTAGTGCAAGTGGGAGAGTAGTTGCAAGTTTAAGCATGAATGCTCTGCGTGTGAGGGTGCTCACTCAGCCACCCGCTGTTTCAAGAAGGGTAAAGCCGGGGAGCGCGGATATACCGTGGTCTTGAAAGGCGAGGACGCCGGTGGACGTCGGCATGATGCACCCGTGGCTAAGCTGTTATAGGAACTGCAGGGCAGCAGAGCTGCTCCTTGGGGGTTTCTGGGATTGTTTTTGGATTCCTCATCGGCTAAGGTATTCTCCCGGGAATTGTCAGAATCTCAAGTCGGTTCCGGAGCTCCTTGAGGTGGTGGCTGAAAAGCTTAATAAGGAGCTGTCTCTGGGACGGATGGCTGGCCCGTTCTCTGCCCCGCCGATCCCTGACCTGCGTGTCTCCCCATTGGGAGTGATACCTAAGAAAGAGCTGGGTAAGTTCCGTCTGATTCACCATTTGTCCTACCCGTTTGGGGCTTCAGTGAATCGCTAAGGAGCTGTGTAGGGTGTCGTATGCGTCATTTGACGCGGCGGTGTGGTTGGATCGGGTGGTAGGCCCAGGGGCTCTGGTGGTGAAAGTGGATATAGCTGCTGTTTTTTGGTTGCTTCTGGCCCACCTGGACTGCCATCATCTGTTGTGTTGTGTTGAGGACCAAACCAATTTTTGTATATCTGCCCCTGTCCAAATTATAAGATAAGTGTGTGCACGCTCCCAAAGTAATTCACACCAGACAAAAGTTTCAGGTTAATGAAAAACTTGAGGAATCGTTAATCCAGGGGGCCGGTATGCCCCTTATAAAGCAGAAATACATCATATGTATAATTATAGATAACAGAGAAAATACATCAACAATTGGTTAGGTGTTAAGTGGTTCATCTAATGCACAGCCTACAGGGTGTGATGTCACTGTCTTTATGCAGTTCTCCTCCACATTCCTGCACCATCTTGTAAATTGGGTGGTTAGTCGATGGGAAGGGTAACTCCTAGCATCCGGTTTTGAGCAGTTACTGAACACAGGAGGGTAGGGGTTGCTCCAGCAGCCAGTTTTGAGCAGTTAATGAACACGGGAGGGGTTGCTCCAGCAGCCAGTTTTGAGCAGTTAATGAACACAGGAGGGGAGGGGTTGCTCTAGCAGCCACTTTTTAGCAGTTCATGAACAGAGATGCACAGAGTAAATAGGCATTTTACTAAAGTTAATATTCTGTCCACAACATTCCCCCCTTAAAATGACATACTATACCTAATAGGCTGCCGCACATCTGCAAACAGGCTTTCTCAAACCCTTCACTGCGCATAGGACCAGTAGCAGCTTGTCCACTACCTCTCCCGCAACAGACTTTTTGCCCGTAAGACAGGACGCTGTCCCTGTGTTTTCCCTAGAGGGAAGTAATTATATACTTAGTGTGGTGGGACTGTAGAGGTGTGTGTGGTGTATCACAGGCTTCGTCATCAATCTCTTGGTGAAGGAAAGTTGGGGTGGTGCGGTCAATGGTTTGATCTACTGTCTTCTGTAGATATTTCTGTACACATGGTACGCATTGATACATTTCTTCTTCTAATTCAAAATATTAGTTCTTTTAGGGTAATTAAATTATACAGTAAAGCATACTCACACACAGACAGACAATCTTACTGATTCACACAAATAGGCTCATTGACAGACAATGACACACACAGACAAGGTTACTGGCACACACACAACTTTAGTACAGACAAACTCTGATACACACACACAAGCTTACTATAGACAAGCTCACTGTCACACACACACGCTCACTACAGACAAGCTCACTGATGTGCACACACTCTCCCTACAGACAAGCCCATTGACACACACGCTCCCTACAGAAGAGCTCACTAACACACAGATTCACTACAGACAAGCTCAGAGTTTAGTGGGTACAGGTAGTGGAGAGGGAGGAGATAAGACAGATGGGGAACAGGCATGTAGCTGGGTGACAGTGGGGCGAGGAAGCAGGGGGGGAGGGAAGAGGAAAGGGCTAGCTAGTCCTGATTTGGTGCAACCTAGCAGATTTGCCCGTTTGAGGGAAGATGTTGGGAGCATCAGCTCAGGAGTAGCTGTTTTAGAGGAAGCTGTTACTTCTAACAGCCGAGCTAGCATCCCCCCTAGAACGGGTGGGGATCAAAATGTAAGGAAGGCAAGACAGGTTGTGGTGGTAGGGGACTCTATCATTAGGAGAGCAGATAGGGCAATCTGCCGCTCTAATCGGCTCAACCGGACAGTTTGCTGTCTCCCGGGTGCTCGGGTCCGGCGTGTTGCTGACAGAGTGGATAGATTATTGGGAGGGGCTGGGGATGACCCAGCGGTCATGGTCCATGTTGGTACCAATGACAAAGTAAGAGGAAGATGGAAGGTCCTAAAGAATGATTTCAGGGAATTAGGTAGCAAACTTAAGAAAAGGACCTCCAAGGTGGTATTCTCTGAGATATTACCTGTGCCACGCGCTACAGTGGAAAGGCAGCGGGAGATTAGAGAGGTCAATGCGTGGCTTAAGTCTTGGTGCAGGAAGGAGGTTTTTGGGTTTTTAGAGCACTGGGCCAACTTTGCAGTTGGGTACAACTTTTATAGTGGTGATGGACCTAAACGGGAGAGGGTCTGCAGTGCTGGGGGATAGGATGGCTTGAAGGTTGGAGGAGATTTTAAACTAGTAGTGGGGGGGAGGGTCATAGCAATCTACAAAATGTAGATAGGACAGAAAGGAGATGGACTTTAGCACAGTATAAGGGGGGTGGAGAAGGGGGGAGGGGCAAGCTCAGAACAGAGAAGATCATAATTCACAAAATATACAAGTGACGCATAATATTAAATGTATGCTTACTAATGCAAG